CGCTAGTAGTAACAGGTGCCTTACTAGTAGTAACAAGAAGCTAGTAGAGATGTTTTCTCTTTTACTTGGCAGCTGTAATCGCCGACGAAGGATGCTGACATGCCGAACCCAGGAAGTTCCTGAAGTGCTTGTCGGACAAGGCGATCCCCGACTCAGATGGCTGGAGGAATCACTTGGCTGGACTAAATATATCTAAATATGAGTACTGAGTATTGAACAGAATCTCTGGTTTGGGCCGGCCTCCCCCTGGTTGGTTCAGAATGGAAAGAGGAAGAGGGGTGACCGTGACCATCCCTAAGAGGTCTATCCAGCCACAGATAGTCACCAGGACCCCTACCCACCTGTTCAACTGGTACCAGTCTGAGAAAGCTTCTGTTTGGTGTTGTTTCCTTCAGAGGCAAACGGAAGGGTAGTGCACAGAAAGGGTTTTGCAAAAACCTATTCTACTAACATCGTGGAAGGCACGGGACATTCGTAGAACCCAAGGCTATTCGTGGACAGTTCGTGGACTGGTGGGCCAGTAGGAGAACTGACTGCAACGAAATCCCAGAAACCTTCGCAGAACTTCGTGGAAGGTATTTTTGATGCACTAACTTCGTATAAGTGATTTGACCCCCTTTCTCCGCACACCCTCCATTTAGCCTTCATTCCTGGATCAATCTCAACAGAGACACATTTTCTTCAATGCTGCGTTGTTCGAACTACGGTGGGGATTGGTCGGAGTGCTGACTACCAACAAAATTTGTCGATTCTGTGCCACCAGTTGACATGTTCGGTGCATAAACAAGCAAGGAAGCAAATGGGATCCACGGTGCCAGCATTTTTGTTGCAAGCTCATTTCACTTTTGCGTGGCTGGGTTAAACACAGATTGTGCTGAATTTGCTGCATAAATTTGCATATATATATATATATACTTGTTTGCTTGGGTGGGGGTGGGGTCAATGCATCTCTGGCATTTCTCTACGGATATTGATCATTATATACTCATGATACCAGTTGGATTCTTGGAGATGCTTTGGGTTTGTCCTTTCACGTCCGCTGGGCTTGCCACCTTGCAGGCCTTCCGCCTTTTGCATCAGGGTCGGTCTCCAGCTTTGGCGGAGCGGAGCAGCTTTGAATCTGACAAAGTCACAAAGTCTAGTCAGCAGGGCACACAAGCAGCACTGCTTAAGCCTTGAGCATTGTCTTTCTCTTTCTCACGCCATTGGCAAACAGAAAAGAAGAACTGGTAGGCCAACCTCAGGTTGTGTTTGGTGTTTTGATGCAGCGTTTGCCTGGAAGCCCTTGGCCACCCCACGATCCCAGCCTTTGGGCATAGGAGCTCTACTTCCGCAAGGCTGCTGAGCTTTCGTCCAGTTCCTCGAAGTCCATAGGCGTGGATGGGATTGTGCAACTCAGCTGCTTTCGGGTCCTGCAGCTGCTTGGAATGGACAGTTGACATAAACAGCTTGTGGCCGTTCTTGTATAAATAGCATGAAACACCAGTCGAGATCGGAGACCAGAGTTCACTTCTGAAGATGCTAAGAAACATGCCATGACTAAGAACCAGCAGGTTTTCTCGATGAAGTTGTCGTCCACAATTCAAGAGGGGGTCCCACAGTCAGTGTGCACGTGTTCATCAACTATCCGACACGGAATCTGACAGCTTCTATTTATCTTCTGAACAAAACCGTCGTTTGGTGCCCTTGGGACTTCCTTCCAACGTGAGTTTCTTTGCCCCTTGGGATAGCCCCACTTTTTGATATTATTGTGGTCAGTTGACCCCAGAATCTTTTGCATCTTTTGAAATCCGAGCATCCACAGGCTTTTTGGGCTTTGCCAGGCTGGAGTTTGCACCAGTTTCAGAAACCAGAAATCCATGCCACTGCACCGTTTCAGCACGATTCTGGCATGCTACTATACATGTTGTGTTATAGTCGACATGAGTTTCAATAAGTGGGGTCGGGCACCGAAGTCGGATAGGCTTCAAGCTGGTATGGCTTTGGAGGCACTGGAGTTTTTTGTTTTTTTAATTATAGTACAAATTCGTGTAGAGCTATGCAGAGCAGCAACTCTGAGTCCTGCTCAGTCAAGGTAAGGGTTCATCACTCCAAGCAAGAATGGGTTTTGCATTGCTCTATTGGAGAAAGGTTATATATTCGTATTATATATTCTAATTTTTCGGCATTGCATTTCAAGGATGCTTCCTCCTGCCTTCCAGATCGTTGGTTTTAAGACATTTTAGCGGGGTGATCTCATGTGTGTGTATATTTCATATATGTACTGTCCTGGCTCTGGTCTGGGCTAGCTAAGACCAAAGTCATTTCGTGCTGACGCTCCATGACGCTCCCATGCTGCTGTGTGCGAAAGACATCCAACCGACGTTGCAATCGTTTTTCTACGCTCGTGCGACAAGGTAGCAGCTAGCACAGCTTTCCACAAGCAAGTTTCATCCAAGTGTCAATCTGGACATGTATCTATAGTTATCTAGTGGCCTCGTTATGAGTTATGAATGGGTCAGTGGTCCATTTGGTCAGCAACTCCTTATTTGGACATCAAACCTCCTAGAAACACACGGAACATAGGAGGTGGCCACTACCGATTCCCAAAGAAGTCAGTCTCAAGAAGCTGCCCCCGCATCCAGCACAATGCCAAGTGTTGCTGTGGAGTTAAGGCACTTGTGCCATCGTGTCATGATGTGTCATGTGTGTTGCTTCAACCGTGTCGCTGGCTGAGCCATGAGCCCAATAAGGCCTGGAAGAGCTTCAACAGGACACTGCGGCTGGAAGGTGCGAAGGAAACCATCACCACCAAGTGCGAAGATCTCAGCACCTGTGGAGCATTGTTGGTCGTTGGTCAGATCCTGTGGTTTTGACTCTGGATTGGGCTGATCGGGCTTGGGGCAAACCATAGGAGAGGTGTTCGGTTGACCAGATGAGCTGTGATGAGCTGCATCATGGTGAACCAAGAAAAGCATGGAGCTGTACTATACGTTGGGATGTTGTAGAATCTTGAAGAGGTGCTTGTTGAGATTGGCGAGCAGACAGGGCACTCTACCTTTGCTTCCCTTTGATCCCACGCATCATGTGCTTTCTTTTCGTGAAGAATGCATTGTTTGCTTGTAGGTTGGAGTCATCGCTAATTATTAGGTTGGACCATTACTATTAGGTTGGAGGCCATCGCCCTTAGGTTGGAGGCCATCACTAGTAGGTTGGAGGCCATTACTATATATTAGGTTGGAGGCCATCGCCATTAAGTTGGGGCCATTAGTATTAGGTTGGAGGCCATCCCCATTAGGTTGGAGGCCATCGCTATCAGGTTGGAGGCCATTGCTTCTAGCTGTTGGCATTTCATCTGACCTTTGGGTTCGAAAGAGTCAATTTGAGGTGGGGAAGCTATGGCTCTTGCCAGCTGCGATCCCAGTCCTTGCTCTTCAGTGCTCTTTCTCTCTCGGCGACCGAGTGTATCCGGCTGTCCAATTTCACGCCCAGGCCTTGGGCGCTTTGACGCGGCCCAGGCCTCGGCCGTGACGGCCCAGAAGTTGGGCGGAGGCGGCGGAGCTCCCTGTGCCCGGCACTTTCAAGGCAGCGCCCACGCGGGAAGATGGCGGATGGTCACCGATGGAGTCGGGACCCTCTGGTGACGGCTTGTACATGTTGCCGCGTGAAGTCAGATGGGGGTTTGTACTTTCCAACAAAGTCTTTAGGGACCCGTGTTGGTCGAGCGTGGCTGCTGATTGCATTTGGATTAATCCCTTCCACCTCCCGCATCAATTATCCCGGCAAAAAAAACAAACAGTGTGTGTGTGTGAGGTCTGTAAGCAGAAAGTCTAGAGATCCAGACGCATTGCGGTCCAGAGAGGTGATGGTGGTGATGAAGTGAAGGTGGGTGTGAGTGAGTGTGGATGAGAGGGAGTGTGAGTGTGAGTGAGAGTGGGAGATTGAGTGTGAGTGCGAGTGTGAGTGAGAGTGAGTGTGGGCGAGAGTGAGAGTGAGAGTGAGTGTGAGCGTAAGTGTAAGTGAGCGTGAGTGAGAGTGAAGGTGGGGGTTAGTGAGTGTGGGTGAGAGTGAGTGTGAGTGAGAGTGAGAGTGGGAGAGTGAGTGAGTGCGAGTGAGAGTGAGAGTGAGTGTAAGTGTGAGTTGGTTGCGGACGGTTGCGAACCCCTATAGATCTGGTTAGACAAAAGTCTCGGAAAGTTAACTCATGTCTTTTGACTAATTAGATAAAAAAAGGTGAAGTTAACTTTTTGAACTAAAAAGCTAAATTGAAAAGCTTTAATTCTCAAACGGTCTTTTTTAAAGGTAACTTGTTAGAGTGGACTTTTTTGAAAGGTAACTTGTTAGAGTTAGTTTCTTTAGAAAGGTAATTTGTTAGGGTTAACTTTTAAACATGCATAGTTGACCATCATTTAAGACATGCTTTGTTGCAAATTGTTCTTTTGTTTGTTATTGTTGTTTGTTGTTTGTCCATCTTGTGGGCCTCCCTTGACTCCGTCCAACCAGCATGGGCCTCAAACTGTTTTGTCTTCTAGTGATGGTTTTGTCTTCTAGTTCTACTGATGGATGTGTGCATTTATATTTGTCAATGTGGTAGGCGTGGGCATTTGAGAGCTGCCTAGGATTATTGTGGATGGTTTTGAGAGTTGTGTATTGTTGTGTTGGTAGGATTACTTTTTGGTGGGGTTGTGTAGGATTTTCAAGGCAAAGAACAAGCATGCATGAACTGTCCTTTTCAAGGGCAGATGCTTTGGAGTTGAAGAACAACTGCATCCCATGTGGGACCTCTCCCAGCATTTTGCTTGAGAGGATGAGGTAAGCCTTCCCAACATGTTCGTTTGCACTTCCAAATTGCGCATGCTCATTCACTGCCATATCACCAAGAGTGGTATGGTGTTATTCAGCTGAGAACTATATAACACATGGGCATCAGTTGCAAGATCTGCAGGAACTGCTCAAAGGGCACCCCTCCCTGCAGGCTGGTCAGAAACTCTTGGAGCATTGGAGAATGTCCTTTGCCCTGGATCTGGCAGATGGCAGTTGAAAAAAACATTTGTTTGTGCTTAAGTATGATTCTTGTTGCAGTGCTTAGGATTATTTGTGCCTGGCCTGGAGGATTATTGCTGCACAGCATGGAGTGGTCCTGGCCATTTATTAGGATTTGGGGTGGAATGTACGTAGGATTATTGTTGCAAAGCATGGTGTCATTTTTCCAATGCACTGGTTTGTTTGTGCAATGTATGCCATGTTGTTTAGCATTATATTTTTTTGGTGAAATGTCTGTTTGTTGGGTGATATAAATATGCACTACCTATGTAGATTTTCTGCTTAAAAGAGTAAACTTTCACCTTTCAATTTAAATATTTTACTTTTTAACTAATTAGATATTTTGTTAATCTATCTAATTAAAAGCCATGAATTAACTTTCTGACACAATTTTCTGTCTAACCAGATCTATAGGGAACGCTGAGAACGCGTCGCGAACAAGGCTCTACCCCCAGACCCCCAGAGTTAAACGAGAACCCTTCGCTACGCATTCCGGAAAAAACGTTCCCCCAAAATGACCTTGGGTGCAGTTAAGTAGTAGAAGGTAAAGGGATGTAATGGCGTAATTTACAAACCAAGGCAATCTGGTTTTTAGATTTTTTAGGCGGCTCTTTTGAAGAGGGACAGGTCTTTATAATTATACATATATATAACTGAGTAGTGCTTTTGAAAACTGTAGGTACGCGCCGCGATTGTTCGTGCATGTGGCGTTCTGTTTATTCCTTGAGTGGTCTTGCATTGTTGCCACCTGAGCAAAGAACCAGCCACCAAAACCCAAGTTGGCTGATGCCGAAATTACTTTGGAAAACTCAGATCCCTAGCAGTTTTTGACGAACTCAGTTGATCTCAGACAAGGAGTTCCCAAGGTTATATAACTTGCCACGGCCAGAGTGATAAGTGTTTGTTCGCATCCTGCACGTGAGTTTTGTGCGTTAGACATCTCTTCAACTCGGAGTTTTCCGAGCTGGGTCCAGGAGTGGTATGAGTTCTATCGACGGGACAGTAAACATAGTAAACGCAGCTGCTAAATCAAATTAGTGGGCACGATGTTTGCTCAAGTTGCGCCTTTCTTACTATGACAAAGGACATGTGAGTCCAAGACCACAGGTGAGTGCACCAGCAGTAACTTAATTATAAGGGGCCTATAGTAAGTCCACTGCATTGTTTGTAAAGTTTTACATGTGAACCACATGCACTGAAGCAGCAAATGCAAAATGCCATCCCCTTCCGGAGGAAAGATGCCACCCATGGACCTTCCTGAAGGTGCTGTGCTGGGTTGGGTGTTCCTGGGAGAGGCAACACACATTTGTGAGGTTTAGTCATACGGGACCATGTCAGCAAAACCCTACAATATGCGCATGTGTTGATTATACATATATATATACACATTAATATACATACTAATAACGGGTATTACATACAGTTATATATGTTACATAACTGGAGTTGTAAAGATGCATTGTATATTAGAGAACACTTTGCCATACAAGCCAAGCAGATTCCTAGACATGAGAGAAACTGACACACAATCGGCTGCCAGCAGACCAATATATTATTTTAGCATAGCTTGTCTTAGGGCAGACGTTGATGATGTGCTTTCTGCAGATTTGCTCAAAGCCACTCTGTGGGGAGGCAACAGTATTTAAGACGCCATGGCACAGGAGGACAATTTTGAGGTTCGGCTCAAAAATACCTTCCTGGAATTCAACGAGATACAGGCACAGGACTGATGAAGGTTTGATACAAAAACGCACTTACTAATTCGCTGGAAAAGGATGTCTTGAAGTTTTGCGAGAAAAAGGTAGATGTTTTTGCATGCCAACCCTCAGGACAATGTGCGGCTACGATCTCGTTCTTGGTCTTCAGGAGACAGGCATGATTACGAGGTGGAGCTGGCTGTGAGCGATGTGAGCCCGGTTCCAGGGAAATCTGAAGATCTAGCGCTTCTTGAAGCTGAGATAGAGATTGCTGCAGACATCCAAAGAACACCTGGAGAAGAGGACGACGCAGGAACTCCAAATCCCGATGGCCCGACACCACCAAGATCACTCCACGCAGCGGGAACATGCAACCCATGCGTGTATTTTGCTAGCCTCCACGGATGCCATTGGGCCAATTGTGGCTTTTGCCACTTGGGCCATGGTTTGGTCAAGAAGTTGCGTCCTCGGAAGCAGGCCCGAGATGCATACAAACAAAAGCTCGCAGAGGTCTTGGAAGAGACTGCCGCAGACTCAGGAATTGACAGAGGATACGGTACATGGTCACTAAATGCTGAGCAAAGACTGCAAAGACTGCAGATGTGATGTGACCACAATTTTGTGATTTCAATGCTCAAGAGCAAACACCTGGATGTTGAGAGTTAAAAAGTTGTAGTAGCGTCCTTGCTCCTAGTAGCGATGCCAGGAGCCCCTGGTAGCTTCTTGCTCCTGGTAGTAAGGCCAGGAGCCCCTAGTAGCATCCAGGCTACTTGAGAATTAAGAACAGTTTGTTTTGCAAAAACATAATTTCTAAACTTAGGATCCACGAGCTCGACACATGGCGCTCCAAGAGTTGGCTACAAAAGACAAATATGTACGGGCGTTGATTATCGCACAGCTGGACATGGAGTCTCTTGTTTGCAAATATGCTGACTTTTTTGTATTGTAGCTTTGCCAAGCTATTTAGTTTAGGTCCATGTTGCTTGGCGCATCAGGATTGCCCCATGATATCTTCCAGGATGCAACATGGGGCAAAGTAAGGCAGCAATTGATGTGATTTTCTTGTCGGAAGTTTGAGCTGTTCAAGAAGCCATTCTTTTGACTCTTCACTTTGTTTGTTGAGACGTGATAGCATAATACAAAGCAGACCAATTTCTTTGCAAATGATTCTTCAAGAAGTCAAGTCTTCAGCGAATGCTTTTTGGGAGGCTCAGTGATGGCGGATGGCCATGCAAACAGTTGCACAGTTTAGATGCGCATGCCTGATCAAGAAGGCCAAAGTAGTGGGATTTTGGGGTGTAGCAAGAACGATGCTGCCTTTGCACTGAGTGTATCTCAATGGTCAATCTACATAATTTCCAAGAATCCAATGGATGCTATTGTTGGTCTTCTGAAGTCTAGGATCGGTGGTGCAAGTCAAGGCAGGCAAGCTCCATGTGTGTGGTTTCCTTTGAAATCCAGGCAATAGATATTTTCCCTGTCTTGACACGTGCATTGGTTTCAATCCCACTACCAGAGCTTGGCTGGCACTGCACCTACCGTTCGTGCAGAATCATTCTTCGTGTTGCCCGCCGCACCAGGTCAAGCATTCCTTTGTGTTGCTTGAAGTTTAAAAGGCCAAGGTCATCCAATCATCCAGCAAGTTATGAAAAAACACACATACAGTGTGTCGCCAAATAAAACCGGGTAACGTAATCATGCTTGCCCGCGGTGCGGACGGAATTGTTCTTCTGACGGAATTGTTCTTCTTCCACCGGTCGGAGAAGCTTGTGGCATCTTGTGGCACTCGCCGCCATGAGGCCTCTGTCGGAAGCCACAGACTATTCATGCCAACCGTTCACCTTTATTCCGAAGCTTCAGCTTAGCAAGCTGCAGCTCGTACAGTCAACACCTCATTGCTGTAGAACAGCCATGGGATAGTTTTTACTCACAAGGAAAAACATTAAAACATGAGTTTGTCATCCTCACGACTGTTTTTCGAGCAGGCGCTATCTCAAATAATTCCAAGAACAGGGAGATTGCAAGTCATATCGAGTCGCTGGAACAACGTAGATTTTGGCCTTATATGGTTGTGCTTGGGCATTCGTGTGGCCAGCGCAAAAATGTATCAAGTCACTTCCGAGAGTTCCGTTTCATTCATACAGTTCTGATAATCATGTTGAATTCGTTTTGCTTCAGGCTATGAGCGGCTTCAAGATGCCTGGGCCGCAGTGGAGTCGGCACACGCTTGGAGGCCCTCATGTGAGGAAGTGTGGAGAAATCTCAGAGCATGGATTCAGCAATTGTTGGCCACGAGTTTGGCAACTCCAAACAAAAAAAGCCGGCTAACGCTCAATCGGATTTGGTTTTACACTGCACAGGCCTATCTTATATAGTGTTTTGGCATCTAGTTGTGATATGTTGTCACTCACCTGAAAGCCGAACAAGGTATATATATATATATTACTGTATACGGTTGGTTGCGTTCGTGGTGCACGTTCACCATGCTTTGACATTGTTCTTTTTTGGAAGCGTGTTTGGGCCCGCAATAATATGATATTTGCTCCGGCAGTTATCACTCCGCAAAAGTGGCTGGTATGCCACAGTACACGGATTCCTTATTTTGATTCTGATAAATATATTAGGCAATGACAATGCTTGCTAAAACTTTGTACAGTACAGGATGTGGATAGGGAGCATTGATGACCTCGGGAGAGAGTCACTGACTTGCATCCAACAGACATGATGTTTCACATCTCCTGCTTTGTGGTCAGCGTTAGACTCAATGGTTTATACGGCGTGTCAACAGGGCTTTGTAATACAGCCACATTTGAGCACTTGTGTTTTTCCCTGACAGCGGTCAAGAGGGCATGGCACTCGCTTGTGCACGCGGAAATCGTATCGCTTGTGCACGCGGAAAACGCCTCGCTTGAAGACGCGCAGGTTGGAAGGATGAGAAGCCTCTTGAGGAGTGTGCGCCTGCACACTCTTTCAAATGCCAGCATGACATATGTCCATTCCAACGGTGCATACCTTTTGTGAGCCACGCGAGGGTACATTTTAGAGGAGGAAGGTGCCATTCCAAGGGTGCATGACTTTTGTGAGCCACCCGAGCTCCTAGGGCAAAA